TCTCTTGCTGTCTGCTGCTGTGTATCACCAGGCTAGCTGTCACTGAGTTTTTCAGGATTCTGCTGTCTCCACACCCCATAGTGATGAAGAAGTCCTGGGATTGCAGGTCCGTGGCACCATGTGCAGGGTTATGTGGGCTCTGGGGATTCAAACCTAGGTTCTTATGGTTGTGAGGCAAGCACTTTATCCACTGAGCCATGTCCAAGCTCAGTAAAGTGCTATAAACGCCAGGACAGTAAAGATAGTCTGTCACCACACAGCAAAGTTACCTAAAGGCAAACCCACATTTTATCATACTGATGCTCAAACTGCACTTTCTTTTTTTTCAGAGCTGATGTGTATAACCCTGGTGTCGCATAATGTTAACATTCCACTTTCTGCTGTAAATAGAATTGTTAGGGTTTATGTTACCTCGCACAAAGGGCTTTCGATAACTTCGAAGCGGATGAGAGACGGCAAATCGACTCCTGTTCACTATTTTTACCTGGATGTGCCTCCTGACTGTACGGCAGTGATGAACAGCCCAGAAGAAATTCATTCGGCAATAGTTTACCCAGAGTTCAGAGACACATGGGCCTCTAGTGCTAATGACGATGCGGTCTGTTCACTCACCTTCCTCGGTGGAGTCAGTCACTGAGGCAAGCCTTTTGCCTTCCTCTCTATCCCTAAGACACAGGCTGGCTGTAAAGACCATGACTGCCATCCAAATGTTTTGTGTAGGACAGGACAGTAGATGATTTAGTCATAGCGATCTGGGAAGCTCTCTATTGACAAGCCACCCTGTGCTGTTTGCATTAGCGAATGTGAGCTGGAGGGAGCTGCCGTCTCCTGGGTCCCACGGGGCTCAGTGTGGGGAGATAGCAGACAGTGCTCCAGTTTACTTAAAGCATTGATAACACCTCTAAATAATTAACCGAGGACTTCCTGTCTTCAATTACTTAATGCTTTTTAAAAAACATCTTTAGAGGATTATAAGCAATTTATGGGTTTCGAGTGATGAGGGCCTCTGCCACTATTCCCACAAAGCATTTATGGGATCATGTTTCTGAGGCTTCGAGGTAATTAAAAGTAAGCATGGAGACAACATGGCTGCGGCAAGGTGCTGGTGGTCCCTTCTGCCATCCCCAGGACTGAGCTCCTTCAGGCTCCAGGAAGGCTACTGCTATAGTTTCATTAGGGCTGTATTGCTTAGGGAGGACCAGGGTTTGGAAATGGAGAAAATCTAAATATTAATTTTTTTTTTGGTTTTCCGAGACAGGGTTTCTCTGTATTGTTTTGGAGGCTGTCCTGGAACTCACTCTGTAGACCAGGCTGGCCTCGAACTCACAGAGATCTGCCTGCCTCTGCCTCCTGAGTGCTGGGATTAAAGGTGTGCACCACCAACGCCCAGCTCTAAATATTAATTTTAAGCATCTCAGGCAACCTTTCAACAAAAATCTTAGGTAGTCCGGGAAGCAAATTGCGTTAATGTCCTTTATTCCATAAACTCAGTGAAGCACTCATCACATCATAAATGCTTTGGTCAGCTGACCACGGACCTGGTGATCTCCGGCAGAGAAAGCATACCACACAGTGGAGATCCTGGGATTAGAGATGTTCATGTCTAGCATCACTCCTGTTCCTCATCAACTGTAGTCAGCAAGCTTTGAAGCCCTCTCCTTAGGGCTCTACTGCCCAATGAAAGCTTCTCTGACTGCATTTAAGAGGGATGGATGGACCAAATGACATTGGAGACTACCACAGCAAGCCACAAGCGATCAACTTCAGAGGACCGCTGACTGTGGGCGCACAGCTCCAGTAGACACACCCACAGCACAGGCTCTACACTCAGTGCTAGTGAACACTGTGCAAGGGAACAGGAAAACTGTAAGGGCCAGATGACCAGAATGTCTGCTTCGAGATAGTGTCTTCGACATATGACAGAGAATCTACACCCATAAAACCTCAGCAGTATGGTCACCTAAACAAGGCTGGCACAGTGACAACACCAGCTGACTACTCACTGACCTCCAAGTGCGGATGGGGGAAATCCTACAAGCCCCCACCCTAGGTGAAGAGCTGCTGAGACACAGAGAATCGAGGACACTCCCCCCCAAGGGGGAGGGTTTAACCAATCCCAAGTGGTCAGCCCCAAACACACACAGATCTGAGCAACAGTAAATGAATTCAGCAGGTTGTATTAATATATATTATATATGTACATATATGTTATACATATATATGTACATATGTAACAGTAATAGTTAAAGGGAAATATAGGAGTGTTTGGGGATGTGGGAGAAATTGGAGGGGCAGAGAATGAGGTATAAATGATATAGATACAGCACCATGAAGGAAAATCCCAAAAAGTAATCAATGAAATATAAAAAAAGAACCATTTCCACTTTACAATTTTTGTGAAACTTTAACTCATATAGGAAAACTTTAAAATATTGATTCTAACGCAAAAACTTCTGGCACCAATGTGTGTGCATAAATTCCTCTCTGACATGAAAATATTGATTGAGAATGACAATGAAAGGAAGAATCAGCGGAGTAAAGGGATTTAACGAAAGAACTTTGCAATTATTTCATAATTAATGAGGCCATCCATCCTGTGGGTTTGTGCATTATAATTGAATTCGGTTTGCTGACAGCTCAGAGCTGGTCTCCGATGCAAACCAGCACAGCTGGCAACAGTTCAAAGCAAGGCTACCAAAGAAGCCAGGGAGGCCTGGGCCACAATGCTTCGGCTCTGTCTCCCAGTCTTTTGTGAAACCAGTACGAAGGGGTACAAAGTTCTGGGTGGCCTCAGCTGACTCTTAGATTTTAATTCACACTCAATTATGAGACCATTGTCCCCCTAAGTCCTCCGTATCACCAGCCTTGCACCCTGCGCTGGTCTAAGTGCCATCATTTTACTGGTCAGCCTTCCCCGCTGCCAAGAGTGCCTTGGAGGCCTCCACGCTAACGAACTGACTCATTAATTGTTTTTGTCTGTGAGGTGTGTGTGTGTGTGTGTGTGTGTGTGTGTGTGTGTGTGTGTGTAAGTCGGAGATGGGCATCAAGTGTCTTCCTTGATTGCTCTCCATTGTATTTTTAGAGGCAGGGCGTTTTCACTGGACCTGGTGCTGACTGATTTGGCTACACTGGCTTGACAGTGAGCTCCATGAATCCTCCTGTCTCCACTGTCTCCCTCAGCAGTTCTAACAATATAGATATGTGCCACCTCAGGCACTGACTGTCTTCCCTTTAATGTGAACACTTGCACAGCAAGAACACACTGCGCCCTCTGAGCTATCTCCCCAGCCCTCACAATCTCATTTGTAAAAAAATCATCAAGACCATTGCCATTGGGTAGTAATGTAGGTGCACACACACACACACACACACACACACAGAGTCATTCTGGCTCTTTTACAGATGGGACAGTAAATTCTGTGGATACCCTAAATGGGTAAGTTTTCTTTGCCTTTGAAGCACGTAGCATGTATACTACAAACTTCACTCACAGGAATGTAGTGAGAAGCAAGAGAGTTGGATCGTAACACTCCTTTAAGATGGCAAAGCCATGAAGAAAGGTGAGTCACGTTCTGTTACATAACACAATACACTAACCAGTTGCTTCCATTTATCTCACGTCAAGTGAAATAAGATGTAAGAAACCAGCTTGGCCCTTTGAGCTGATGAAGAATTCTCTATCCGTGCTATCACCATGTTAGTTCATGGTCTCCAGAGACGGGGTAAGACGTGCAGATGTACAAGCACGTACTGTGTCTTTCTAGGATTCATGGGACTTTTGGAAAAACACCAGCCATCTTGTCAATCAGCGCTTGCTTAGGTGGCAAAAAGTCATGGGAAAAAAATACCATGGAGTTTCTTTTCCAGGCATACCTTTCTGGACATTTCTGTGCTTTCCTGCGAGTTTTGCTTTCTGTGTGGCTAAACTTCTTTGAAGACACAGAGCCCAGCAGGAGGGGGTCATTTCTTTGGGAAGTCTTAGAAAGAAGTGGAGAAATCATGCTCTCAGAATCTCAACGCCCAGGTGTGTTTGTAATGACTCTGAATGACTCTGTCTCCCAAAGTTGGTTTTTTTTTTCTCAATGAGACAGAACTAAGAATCGCCTCTGCCCTCTTGGGTTTGAGGTGGGGATTGAGATAGTACATGCCAGTGTTTAGATAGTGTTTGGCATCTATTAGCTTACCTCCCCCCCGACCAATTCACTCAGCTCCTACTGACCTGCTAAGGATGAGTTTAAGTATTAGCGATGCAACACTGAACAGGTTGGTCAGGTCCCTGTCTGCAGCCTGCATTTATCAGTGATGGAGGCAAAAGAAAAATAAAACATTAGGTGGTGTGAAGTCTGTGATTAAATAACGTGGTAAGAAGACTACCAAAGTCAGACATACATTTCCTCTTCAGAAGAAATATACAAGCTACACATGTTAAGTGTTGCTATGGTCACTGTGAGGGCTGACCCAATGCTCTGCTTCTGCACCACACTACTGAAGTAATGGCAATAATGTTATACATAACCAAAGTAATGCAACCTCTATCAATTAGCAGACATAGTAATGACGAGAAGTTCCAAGCAGTCAACTGTCAACCAGGGAGTATTAGCTATTCACTTTGGAGATCACTGGCAGCCTCAACATTGTCTTCTTCTTCCCCTCAATCCCTGCCTGGCTATCCTAGCCCCATTACCTGCGAGTCTATCCCTGGGGAATGAGAATTCACCGTACTGTTTGTTTGAAAAAAAAAAGTTAATACTGACACAAGCCCCCTCTCTACACACTGCGTATCAAAGCCAAATATAAATTATTTTTGAAGTTCTCTGCTGCTGTGGCTTATTGCTGCCAGTGTGGGCTCTTCGATTAGCATGGTTTAAGTAGGACCTGACCATATGTCAAGAGAACGTGTCCTTTCGAAGTGACCTCATATATCAAGCCCACACCCCTGGGAGGCTCCCCCAACCCCACCGCAATGACAGCCTCCTCCAGCACATTTCCCGTTTTGTCACCTGTGACCGTATGCTGCCTCCTGTCACCCGTGTCAGTGTAGACGAGCCCTCTCCCATGCAGCCAGAGCTGGTCCTCTTTAATGACACCTTTGGCTTTCTCAGGGATATTTCGGCCGAGGTGCAGTGTCTCTGGGCCCTGGGCTGTGATGTTTGGCGGGGAGACACTCTCAGGGATTCCTCGGGCGGTAGCAGCGACTACCTGCGAGCATGGAAATTAAACAGCAATTTATTGTCATCGTCCACTAGGAATCCTGATCAATGAAAATGTCGCTTTTGTTTTAGAGCCTTGCCGTCTGGCCTGGCATATCATTAGCAAGGGCTGGGAGAAGAAGCCCCACACCTCCCTTCATTCTTTCCCTCTCATCCTACTTAAACAATGAAATCTGACCTTGAATATATTACATAAGTCTCCAACTACTATTTATCACAACAGGTCCAACAACAGTTTTGGAGGCAGAGTGCGGGCCCTCAGTTTAAACAAGTGTAAACCCGCCTGGCAGACTGTCTGCCTGGAGAACTCTCTTCCATATGGCCCATCAGTGTCTTTGCATTTTAACAGCCTGATTTCGCAAAGTTAAGCATCAGTAAATATGGAGCAAAAGCGACATCTGAACTCGCTTGCACAGGGCATACTTTAAGCAGCACAATGGGCAGACTTGTACCCTTTCCCAAGACGACTGCGTACTGTCTACATGATGCCCCGGAAAAAAAGAACCAAGTGAGAAGCAAAACCCACCAGTTACTCTGAGGCAACGGTGTCCCAATATGGTTCTGGGATAAAAACTTGCTGTTGGGAAGATGCCCCCCCCCAGGATAAACCTGATTCCATGTTTTAACCAATTGTTCTGGCATGTGGTCTGCCCAGGCCCTGTTATGAACAAAATGTAGAATTGTCTAAGGGCCAGTCGGACTGGAACCTTTGATTGGGTCAATCAGCTGTCATCTGTCAGCATGGGGGCAGGCTCAGTTGTGGCTGTGGCTCTGTGCGTTGTGTGGCTCCTGGGACAGCGTGTGGAGCCCACTATTCTGAATCTAACCAGATGAAGAGTGTTAGGGCCATTCCGTCTGCTGGGGTGTGTTTCAGGCTGCTTCCCACAAAGTTAGCTTTTGTGATATGACATTTGATTAATTCTCCTCCTTAACTCTTTGTTTCCTCTAGGAGGTTTTCTTTCTCTACTCAGCAGCAGTCTCCATCACTCATCACCATGGTGTTCTGTTTTTGTTTCTCTCTGGTGCCCTCAATGATCACATCTAAGCCCACTGCTTTAATTTCTCAGATAGATCTTTCTAGCAAGCCCACCTCCTGGTCTAGCATCCAACTAGACATATTTTTAAATTTAAAATGACAGGTGATATCTGCTTCTATCACCCTGCTCTTTAAATAGTTTCGAATAAACTTGAAGATAAACCTATCATTTTAACATTTTTGTTTCTGCTTGCACCACAGCAACAACACCACCTGCAAAACAGCTGAAGCCACACACCTAAAAAACATACAACACTTGACTTTCTTCTCTTCTGGGCGTCCAGCCTTATGACATTGTGACACAACACTCTAATCTACAAAGTTTATGCTGAAGAACCAACCATAGAATCAAACTGAAAAAACAAAAAGCTGAAAAGCTCATAGCGTTCTAAGCAGTTTATAGTTTAGTGTTGGGGCTCAGTCATCATAGCAACCCCAAGGGTATATAGGAACAAGGGCTGGAGGTTGGACATATCTGCATGTTCTATACAGGGTTGGCACCAAGTGTGGCAGGTCCTGTCACCTGCATTCTGTTGTAACTGTCTTTTCTGTTTTTTTAAGATAGCATTGCACAGCTCGGGCTGACCTCAAACTTACGTAGCTGAAAATGACCTTGAGCTCCTCATTCTCCTGCTTACACCTCAGAATGCCTCTTTGCAGCACACTCCTGGCTTATGCGGTGCTGGGAATTGAACTCAGGGCTTTGCGCATAACTAGGCAAGTGCTCTACCAACTGAGCTACAGTCCCAGCCTCTCATCCTAGATCCTGGTATCCAAATCTGGGCCCTTATCATTCCTTGCTAAGACTTCTGCTGAACTGTTGGCATCACTTATTTGCACAGCAGGCTCATCCATTTCTGGCTTTTAAGGGTGGGCAAATTTTGATAGCATGCTATCTAGGTGCAAGTTGTCAGCTGATGAGTGATTCTAGATGTTTTATGGCTTTGTAGAACACTGCTGCCCCATTCCGCATTCTGCCACTGTACCAGAGTACCTACGACTGAGAGACATCCAAAGAGAAGGGTTTTCTAGTTTTGCTTCAATGTTCTGGGATCTGAGAAGCTTAAGGTTGAATGGCTAGCCAGGGAGTGAGGCATGCTGTTGGAGAATAGAAAGGTGCTCAGGCTTGTGTAAAAGCAATAGAACATGAGAGGTGGCCCCAGGGTACCTGCACCATGGTGACTCCCTGGTCCTGTGAATGTGATAATACACTCTTGCCTGAGAAAGGAGGACATTTGCTACTGTGTCGCATGGATCCCGTGCGACTCAGCACCTCTCCAAGGTGCCACTACCTCTCAATGCTAGCTCTTGATCTCTTTCAAGATCAGAATGGATTATCCCTTGGCCACGCCCCCTCCCACCCCCAGGTTTCTTCCAGTGCCAGATGAACTCCATGTGCTTAGGATCTAAAGACCTAAGCATTGACATTAACATTTACTGAGCACTAACTGGTTTTTGCTTTTTTTTTTTTTTTGTATTGATGCCAACTACATTGTGAGACTGACTGGGGAAATATCACAGCAAACCACAACTACCCAGAAATAATTAAGAGAGAGGGCTGTGAAAGAGTCACTGATACTGGCTTAAGAGTTTGCTGTTTAAAACACTGATATATGGTTAAGTCTCTGTGACAGGAGTCTTCCCATCAGTCAACACCCGATGAAGGAGACTCACGGCCTCCTCAATGCTGCCTTGAGGGAGACGCGGTTTTCTGGCCTTGGAAAAGTCACACCCTCGCGCTGGCACCCTTCCTTCTTCCCATGGTTAGGTGGGCTCCTCTGACCTTGCTACGCACAGCCAGTGGCCGTGCGGGCTTTCAGCTGGTATGAATATTTCTGGAGTGGCTGGATCCCCTCTGTGTCAGCGAAACTCAGCGATGCTCCCTGGAATCTCTCCCTTCCATCTCAAAGAAGAATGTAGTGAATAATACGGCCTGGAAGGTAGAAAAATGCAGGCTGTGTGTCATGCCATATTAACTATTTTCAAACAGCATGCATGCCATAGATCGCATCTATCTATCTATCTATCTATCTATCTATCTATCTATCTATCTATCTTCTATCTATCTATCTATCTATCTATCTATCTATCTATCTATCTATCTATCTATCAATCATCTATCTATTATCTATCTATCTATCTATCTATCTATCTATCTATCTATCTATCATCTATCTATCAATCTATCTATCAATCATCTATCATCTATCTATCTATTATCTATCTATCTATCTATCAATCATATATCTATCATCTATCTATCTATCTATCTATCATCTATCTATCAATCATCTATCTATCATCTATCTATCTATTATCTATTTATCAATCATCTATCTATCTATTTATCTATCAATCATCTATCTGTCTGTCTGTCTATCTATCTACGTACACGTATGTGTGTGGAGGTCAGAGGACCACTATGTGGAGTCAGTTCTCTCCTTTTACCGAGCAGGTCCCAGGGGCTGAACTCAGGTGCTCAGGCACGGCGGAGCACGTTTTCTAACTGCCAAGCTCGCTCACCAGCCAGCCCTGTCCTAGAGATTTAAAGCCATGAGACATTGTAGCATTTTAAAATACAGAGCCTTTCTATGTTTGAGTAGCTCTCAGGTTTATTACCGGGGGAAGATGTATTCAGGACAGAATTACACGTTTCTCTCTGTTCATGATTTAAAAGACTTGTGTTCAACAATAGAACAAATTTGACTTCAGCTATATTCTGCTTATTTGAGAGCAGCTCTGGTAAAAGTAAGGATTTGGGGCATTTGGATGATTATAATTAGCATTATTATTAATTTTGGCTTAGAAAGGTGAGAGATGACGAGCTGACACAAGGGGGTTTCCATCTATCAGGAAGTAGATACTGAGTAGGTACATGGCAATATATACCACACTCATTTCCTTATTGTAGGAGTTTGTAAAGAAGTTAGTCAATTCTTTCTCTGAAGTAGCTCAATACCAATTGACTGCTTGGGCTTCTTCCAGTTTAAGAAAATAGCATCTTCAGGGCTGCCCGCTCTGGCCATCCAGGGCCTGACTCTGTGAGCCACGCCTTCTTTTGTGCAGGCTCAAACAGGTTGGCTGAATCCTCACCAGCGGCTGTTCCATGCAGAAACCCTGTATTCTTACATGATATTGGGCTCAAGCTCCACATCTGCAAAGACAAAAAGCAGACTCGGGGGTTTACTTTTTTTGTTAAACCATCACATATTTTTAAATTTAATTTTTATTTCTGTGTGTGTCTCCGTGTCTGTGTCTCTGTCTCTCTGTGGGCTGGTACATGCTGACGTCAGATGATGGCATCGGATCCCCTGGATCTGGTGTTCTAGGCAGTTTGTGAGCCTCCCACATGGATACTGGGAACTGCATTCTGGTCATCTGCAAGAGCAGTACAGACTCTTAACTGAACCACATCTCCAAGCCCTGAAAACCAAGATCTCTAAACATTCAAAACAAATGCTTAATGCTCTGTCCCTTTACAAATACACAAAAATCCAGTGTCTTTATTTTACAAAGCCCTAGATGTGTAGATAGGAGTCTCACAGCTAGGAACTCATCATTTCTGAGGAGGGAAATGTTTACAAAGAAACAATTGAGGGGCTGGAGTGAGGCTCAGAGGGTAAGGTGCTTGCTGTGTAACAAGCATAGGGACCTGAGTCTGTACCCAGAGTGCATGGTAGATGCCGGTATATGCAAAGGAAATGATTGTAAAGAAACTAACATACAGCTAATTTGAGTGTCTCAAAAGTTCCTGTGCAACTTTATTCCTAGATGAGGCAGGTTTGCCAATGCTATTTTGTAGTTTCACCACTGTAAACCTTATTATTACTTTGTTAATATTACTTTTTAAAAATATCACATGTTATATTTTCATGAGACACAGACTTGAAACTTAACCTCTGGTGGTGCCATGTTAATGAATAAAAACAATGCCCCCTTGCAGTATTCAGTTCTACTACACCCAGAACCGAAAACCAGATGCCAATCAACCAACCAACAATCTTATCAGAACAATGAAACCCAACCTGCTGAGTGTTTGATTGGCAAGACTTTCATTAGATAATGAATGACCTGTGTGACTCAGTGCTGTCCCCATGATAAGTCCAATAACCCCCAAAGTATTGATTTTATGCATTTACAAAAAACCTAGAAAACAAAAACCAAAGAAGAAAACCCTGAAAGTTCAGTTATTTAAATGCAGTTTGCACTTGTAAGCTTTGATCCCTTTTTTTTTATCATGTCTTTGTTTCTGAGTGACTTTGTCACAGTGAGGACCAGAAGGAGCTGCTCTGGGACACATTCGCTCCCTCCAGTGGATTATGTGTGTCCATTTGCTCCATTCCCTTAGTGACTGAAGCCACGTTCTCTCCCCCCCGCCCAAACTCTTTATTCTTTGTGGATTTCACATCATGCATCCCCGTCTTGCTTCTCTCCCTGACCTCTGCCCTTGCAACCTTTCCCACAAAACAAAATGTAGAAGTAAAGCAAAACAAAAACACCAAAAAACAAAAAAATCTGGGCTTGGAAGCTGTAGTGTGTGTCACCCAGCGAGCCACACGGTATACTCTTTAGTCCGTACATCTATACTTGTGAACTGCAGTCAGTTATTGGCCTGGTTTGAGGTCTCTGGCTTCTGCTACACTGCAGACATTGGGCCTTCACTGGGATACCCCTTGGATATCTTATTGTTGCCTTGTGCCATGGAGATCTTGGGGTTTTGGATCCGCATATCTGACCCCTTCACACACTCCAACAGTTCACAGATGAGGTGGGTGTCGGGCTGGGCAACCTCATAGTCCTGGTTCTGGGCCTGGATGGTAGCTGGGTTGGTCAGTCAGTCTGCCGGCTTTCCTGCATTGCCATCACCCGGGTGGGCTCTTCAGCATTGCCCGTCCTGCTCACCCAAGCAGCAGGCAGCAAGGAACAGGGCCAGTTCGTCTGCTCTACCGACTGCACTCACTCGGCCAGGGCCGGCTCTACTCTTTTGCCCATGGGCTGTAGGGCCTGCTCTCCTGATGGCTGCACTTGCGGAGGGGCAGAGACGGAGCTTCTGTTCTCATGGCCCCGAGGTCAGCTTCTGCAGGCGTCAAGGGGTCCGGGGCAGAGGGCAGAGCTCCCTTACCCTTGCCACTCTTCGCTATTCTTACCTCTCATGGAAGGCTGTGACAGGAATGTTGCAAGAGTCCAGGCTGTGGCAACATGACAGTTGTACCTGAAGCTCAATGACCAACCATACTGAGACCCTGTTTTGCAACAGGATGGCTCTACCCCCCTCTGCCCCCGCCCCCCACCAGCTCCTGGGCTTTGCAATTTCGCAGCCTCACCATCCTTCCCTCAAAGTCATAGATTCCAACTTGTCCTTTCATTCTCAGTTCAGACACAAAGTTTTTCCTGACTTTTCTGGTCTGGACCAGGTGTCCCTTCCACATCCTCAAAAGCATCTGGGGATCGTGAAGGTTACTTATGTCACAGTGCTGACATGGATTCTCTTTGGCACAACACCCTGTCCCCAAACATCCAAGTGAGTTCTTCATCTAGGCTTCAAGTCCTAGATGGTAATTCCTGCTTGCCCATAGCTGCTGGTGCTAGTATAATGGCTGCCTACCAGTAAGTATTATATAAATAAACACGCTCATTACATATGTCATATAAACAGCTGGAGACCAATTCTAGAAACTTGTGCATGCTAAAAAAATGCTCTACCACTGGGATTTATGCTCAGGCTCTTAGTAAATGTACATATATATGTGCAAATATATAAAACACATTTATTTTATTTCTTTGAGAATTTTATACTTAAGTATTTTATTTACCTCATTTCTAGTTCTCTTCCTTTCCTCAAAATTCTCCCAAGTCTTCCAACTCTCTTTCAACTTCATGATTGCTTCTCTAATCATAATTGTTACTCATACACAGCCTCTCTCTCTCTTTCTCTCTCTCTCTCACACACACACACATGGCAGAGGAGACTAGCACACACACACACACACACACGGAAGGGGAGGCTGGCACACACACATGCACACACACACGCATACGGCAGGGGAGGCTGGCACACACACACACACACACACACACACACACACACACGGCAGGGGAGTACAGGTGGTCAAAGGCTGCAAGGAATGTGACAGAACCCCTGACAGTTTCTCCACTCCCAAGTGAGCCCCAAATGCATGCAATGGACAGTAAACGGACTGACTGGTCAGTGTGTGTCTAACAATTTTCATGATCCAGTAAAGTCTGTAGGGGGCTCATAAGCTCAGGGTCAGCTTGTGCTATGCAGCAAGCTCAAGACCAGCCTTGGCAATTTAGGGAGACTCTGTTTGAAAACAAATAAACGAGAAGCAGGCTGGGGACATAGTTCCATGGGTGAGCACTTTGGGTTCTACCTTTGGACTGTCACAAATAAGAAACTTTGTTTCTCATGTTCAATTTATAGCAACCACAGAGCAACCGGGAGTGTAGGTTTTAAAAGCCCTTATAATGTATCACATCTATTCATTTTGGAAGAAGGCTCCTGCAAGCATGTTTTAAAGCTCTTCAAAATCTTGACTTGATTGCAGGTGGCAGATAAAAGCAGGGAACTCTGTGGGATGGAAACCCAATCATTTAAGAATGAGGCTCCACTGGTGTGATATTTAACTGACAGCCGGAGACCAGACGACCGGAAGGCAGGTCAAACTGTGGTCTATCTTGAAGCCTTTCCTACTGCTATTTATTATTATTTTTCTTTATGAGCAGTGTGCTAAATTCCAACAAACACAGATAAGCATCATTTCTAAGCACATTTCAACCCGGTGGGACAAATGAAATGAGTGTTCAGAGCAAGTGCTTTGCAGTAGAGGGGGTGGGTTTTTTTTTGTAGGATGGATGCTGCAGGAACAGAAGGGGCTCATGGGCGATCTGGGGCTTGCACCAAGTATTATTACTTTGAATTTGAGCAGGGTGATGGAGGGCTGCAGAAGGGGAACCAAGCATCCAGAAGGAAGCTCCAATGAGAGGAGCAGAGAGGGCACCCTGGAAGGGCAAAGCCAGGACCCAGATTTAAAATGGTCAGAGGGAAAAGTAAATCTGCAAGGCATACACTAGCAGCACCCCTAGGGGGCCTTGCTGTTTCTACATAGCTGGCAGCTAGGCAAACCCTACTACTGATAATTGGTGGCAGATGTCCCTGCGTATATGTGTTTCTCTTATTGGCTGATGAATAAAACACTGTTTGTCCAATACAGGCAGGAAGATAGGCGGGACTAGGGGACGAGGAGTACTTTCGGGAAAGGTAGGCAGAGGGAGATTGAAAGAGACAGCCATGGAGGAACTGGGAGGATAGGATGTGCCAGGTGTCCTCTGGTAAGATAAGGCCAGGTAGGAATATGTACATTAGTAATATTGGGTTAATAAGACAGAGCCCTAGTCATCGACCAACAGTTTTATGATTAATATATGTCTCCGTGTGCTCATTTGGGGCTGAAGCAGTAGTGAGGGTTCTTGACTGACAGGTGACTACCCTGGCAGGCTTCCCATTGGGAGACAGACTGTGACCAGGCACAGCAATCCCTCAGACAGCCTCTGATGGAAGAAGCAATGACAAACATTAAAGCATCAGAGATTAATGGGCTTGGTGCGAGCAATGACAAACCAAGAAGAGTCAAATCTGTGCTAAATAAGCAAATAATACCTTTCAAGAATATAGCAAACCAACAAAACCCAACCAAACCAACACCCTAAGAATCATAAACACAGCTATCCGCCCCCTCCCCAACCAATAAGCCTTAAGACAAAACAGTTCTAATTTTTTAATTAATAGAAAAGTTGAAAGACAAATGTAAGGCGATACCTCAATGAAGTGAAAAATGATGAATTAATCAGAGGACAAGGGAGTGCTAGAAGGAAAATATTAAGAAGTAGATTTAAGAAGAGGTGAGAACTAAGGCAAGAGTAGCAATAACCATCAAGTGAATAAAAGAACTGCTCTCCCCAGAAGGGAAGGCGGTGGGCTCTAGGCTAAAAGGACACCCCCCAACACACACACACACAGTCAAACATGCACACTCACACACACACTCACACATGCACACTCACACCACACACACACAGTCAAACACAACACACACTCTCACACACTCACACATGCACACTCTCACACACATGCTCACACACAACACACACTCTCACACACTCACACATGCACACTCACACACACAGTCAAACACAACACACTCTCACACACTCACACATGCACACTCACACACACATGCTCACACACTCACACACACTCAAACACAACACACACCCTCACACACTCACACATGCACACTCACACACACACTCAAACACAACACACACCCTCACACACTCACACATGCACACTCACAAACACACTCAAACACAACACACACTCTCACACACTCACACATGCACACTCACACACACATGCTCACACACTCACGCCACACACACACACTCAAACACAACACACACTCTCACACACTCACACACGCACACTCACACACACACTCAAACACAACACACACTCTCACACACATGCTCACACACTCACACCACACACACACACTCAAACACAACACACTCTCACACACTCACACACGCACACTCACACACACACTCAAACACAACACACACTCTCACACACATGCTCACACACTCACACACACACACTCAAACACAACACACACTCTCACACACATGCTCACACACTCACACCACACACACACACTCAAACACAACACACACTCTCACACACTCACACATGCACACTCACACACACACACTCAAACACAACACACACTCTCACACACTCACACACAACACACACTCTCACACACTCACACATGCACACTCACACACACTCAAACACAACACACACTCTCACACACTCACACACGCACACTCACACACACACTCAAACACAACACACACTCTCACACACATGCTCACACACTCACACCACACACACACACTCAAACACAACACACACTCACACACGCACACTCACACACACACTCAAACACAACACACACTCTCACACACATGCTCACACACTCACACCACACACACACACTCAAACACAACACACACTCTCACACACATGCTCACACACTCACACCACACACACACACACACTCAAACACAACACACACTCTCACACACTCACACATGCACACTCACACACACACACTCAAACACAACACACACTCTCACACACTCACACATGCACACTCACACACACACTCAAACATAACACACACTCTCACACACATGCTCACACATGCACACTCACACACACACTCAAACACAACACACACTCTCACACACTCACACATGCACACTCACACACACATGCTCACACACTCACACCACACACACACACACCAGGATGCAGCTGACAGAGTGAGTGCTTGTCTGGCATGTGCAAGACTGTGAGCTTCACCTCCCTAGCCCTCCAGCGCCACAAAGACAACCAGACCAACTGTGGGTCATAGTAGGTCCATGCAGAGGCTCATTTTCATGAAGTAAGATAATGAGAACACATCTCAAAGACACATGCTGGTACTTAGCTCCCTTTCTCTGCCTATCCCAGAGCACGGCACTGTGTATCCCCTGGGGTAGTGCTCCACCTCAGTCATTTCCCTCAGAGAATACCCTCATAGACACACCCAGGGGTGTGATTCCAGGTAATTCTAAGTCCCATGAGGTTGACAGTTGAGATGAGTCATCACGGTTGTCAGCTCCAGCACCCAGGGCTGTGCTGTGCAGGGACCAGGGAGGATGGCCCTCAGTCTGGGAGCACACACTTCCTGTCATGCCCTCATCTGAAGCGCTGGGTGAAGCTTCCCTGAGAACAGCTAATCATTAGGAATTCCTTTAGAATTCATTGCACTAGCATCAATCATGACAAACTCATTTGGTATTAATATGGATAGAAGGCAAAAATGAATAATGCACACGTGAGATTTTATATTCCTATTTTAGAAAAATAGTTATGAACAATGTATTTCTCCTCCCGTCGTCGAAGCGGCACCTCCAAGAGGCTTTCTATCAATTACCTTCATCACCATTCCAGCTGAAATCTCGTCAGAACAAACATATTTCAAAGGATTATATCCAACTCCATTACAGCATCGCTGGCTCTCTGGAATAAGTTCAGTATCACAGCATTTTACTGGCACCGGGTCATTCTTTTTAACGTGTGCTTTAGACTCTCCACTGGAAACTGAGCGGCATATGGTATCTGACATATTCACACAATCCTGCCCACAACACAGCATCCCTGCAACAATAAAATGTTATATATGAATATCAAATAAAAAAGGGGAAGAAAACTGAGGCAGCTGTAAAGCTTGGTATAAAAACGTCGGACTCAGGCAGTTTTGGCGAAGGAGCCATTTCCCCAGCAACGTGATTTAGATGTGCGATGAGGGTCCCTCTTACCAAGAGTACCAGGCACTCATCAGGAAAAGAACACACAAGAGGAACTGTTCGGAAACTATTCAGCTGGGCCAGGCTCTGCCTGCACTCCGTTAAAAAAAATTGGGTTTCTGTCAAAACTGCCTGCCCCTTTTGTGATGATAACATCATGTTGCACAAGTAGGTTAGCTAGATTAGAAGATCTTAGAGAGAAAGCTCTAGAAATTCACAAGGGAGGCTAGGTCACCCAGGCACTCTGGGATAACAGCCAGGCAGAGTGGAAATGTAGTGACAACCAGATGAGCATTCCTGGCTAAGGGCTGTATAAGCCCCTGTCTGTCTTTGCCTGGGGTGTGGTATTTGTCTCTCATGAAGTCTGAAACAGCTGTAGCCTTGTGGTCTTCCTTTCTCCTACAATTAGATTGAGTATTCACAACCAAGCCAGGGATATTGCTCAGTTGGTAGAGTGCGTGCCTATGCTCTGTCTCTGGTCAGTACTGCATAAACCAGATGTGGCACACCCCTGTGAGGCCAGCACTAGGGAGGTGGAGGCAGAAAAATCAGAAGAACCAAGTTATTTTCAGTGAGGTGTGGAGTGTAGGGCCAATGCTGTGGTACCCAAGAAGATGATAACAACAAAAACAACTTGTCAAAGGTCTTCAGCAGCTATGCCTCTGATAACTCACATAAGAAGGGGGGGGAGGAGGGTGACACCAACAATGACCACAGATGGCCAAGACGCAGAGACACAGAGGTTATGGAGTCCTCAGTCCTCCATGGATCATGTACCACAAGCCCTCCTCCCAAGGCTCAGCAACCACTGTGGGATGATGGTTAGAAATAGTGTAGGAGGCTGTGATGACTCCAAAGAAACACTGTCTTCTAAATACAGCCACGCAATCAGCCACAGTGGTTATGATGTCATACATAATCTCAGTGCAAGCCAAAGTCATCCCTTCACTGAGTGGGAGCTAGGCAGGAAGTCTCTCCACTCCTGAGGACCTAAAGGCCCACTCCTCACCTGCTGGGGGAGCGAGGGTCACTGCTTTCTAAGGATGTGCTCCCTGGGAATATGGTAATTCTCCAGTGGAAGGCCAGACATTTAAGGATATATTTGGGAAGATGGCATTGGTGGTTTTAAAAAGATTAAGAAAGGACACAAAACTGGGCTGGTAGGGGAGATCTGGAAGGAGTCGGGGAGGTGGGTGAACATGATCAGAACCCACTGTACAAACTTATAGACAAGTACACCAGAAGCCCCCCAACACACATGCGATGCACGCGCGCGCGCACACACACACACACACACACACACACACACACACACACACACCGGAAGCATATTTGCTGTCACAGAAAAGCAAGCCTGGCAGCCAGACACTATTTTCTGAACCTCACGCAGCTCTGGCTCTCCTAGATGACATGTCTGTCAGCATGGGACACCGGTGTAAGGGAGGATCACCCATTCTCATATTCCAAGAGACATACATACCTGAAGGGCCAACAGGATTCTCTCCCACTGACCAAATGCCCATCATTTGCTGCCATAGAAGAAACCTAGCATAAACTTACACATAAAAGCACTAGTTAAATAAATAATACCCTGGAGTCGGATTATGCTAGAACTCAAGGTCTCTAGATGACATGCCACCATGCTGTCTTATTAGAATTTGCATCTGGTCGTAAAGCAGTGCAACCTGATGAATGATTCATTTTAATTAGAGTTTGTTTATTACTAGTCCTGACCCATAATGCAAAGAACTTCAGATTTCAAGTGGTCTGAGGTTGTGAATTGTTTAATCTGGTCCTGTGCAAACACCCATATTAGGCACAGCACTCCTAATGACAGACCAGAGAGTTTCCAAAGCTTAAAAAAAAATCTCAGTGTTGCGGTCTCTTGGAGGAAGACACTATTCAGTCAGGGCTCTGAAGAACTGTCACATTGTTTATACTTTGAAAAGATTCCTCAATATTTAAAAGTTGTATATATGACTAATCATAGATACTGGCCATCACAGAATTCTGATATATTGTGCTAACCTAAACATAACAAGTCCTTAAAGTAGTTGAAAGTAATGTATGATATTGGTAATTTTTATTTTCATTCCTAGGGCATGTTCTCTAAAATAAGACATGCACAGCAGTGTTCTTATTGTAGACTGAGTCTTAATTATGTGGATAAAGACAGTTGTATTCATGCAAAAATGCCACTGCCTACTTATAAATGTGTACTCTCTTACACACAAAAGTAAAAGTGAATGCCATGGGCTTGTATTTGGTATTGTTTGGACATTCCTTTTCTGCTGCCTTCAGATGATATATTTAAACACAACCTTGGGTTCCTGACTGTCACTTTTTTTTCTTATTGTAATTTTCTTAAAACTCTTCGTGCTTCCATTTTAGAGAGCAATCAAAACCTGAAGACTGGCCTTCCAGGGAAGAGAATACATTCCCCCCCTCCACTCTCAAATTACTGCATGGCTTCACCGTGCTTTAACTATGAAATCAAAATGCAGACATTGACCTAATTCGAAACCCTAATCAGTCATCTGATCGCTCTGAGGGACTTTTGACAGGTCAACTAAAATTCTGATAATGAACTGTTTTTATACGAGGGGAGAGAGGAAAAAAAGGATGTTTTCTTTGACAAAGGGCTTCATCTTGGCTTTTCTGAATTGAAAATTTTCAGGCAAGATTTCCCTCATATAACAAGAAGTGACTCCCTTTCTAGTTTCCTTGGTAAACCATTGCTTCTTTAATTATTATCAACCTTGTTCCAGTGTGATAAATTGCTAATTACTTAATACTCTAATCAGCGTTCATTCTTTGCATAGATAAACCATGACAGTGCCATTAATTTAAATAGTAATTTCACTTAATGGCCAGAACGGCACACCAGATTTTTATGCAGCATCTTCTGAAGTCTGCATCCATCACTGTGATATTCTGACATAAAGATGTCTGACGTGCACTAACTCACTTAGAGAGAGCAGATGTTGCAGCATGGGGCTTGGTAGTGATACCCATGGTGCATCGCTTCAGCATGAATGAGCTGCAAACCCAGAGAAAGACCAGCTTCTGCAAGGCATGGCAACAACCTTTGACCCCTGCCTAATTTATCACGCACAGCACTTGACTTTTGAACTTTGACACACGGAGGTCACAATTTTAAATATGCCCAAAGAAAAACGAAATAGGCCATGTGTTTTTGATGCCTTGCTCCATTGTTCCAAAGGACTTATATGAATATGGAGATATTAGCAGGGTGCACATGAGTATATATTTGTATTTCAGACGCACTGTGTGCACAGTCTTTGACATCATGTAGACAGTCCGTGGATGGCTTCTACTCTGTTGTAGACAGTGGAGAAATGAATTAGAAGAAGTTTGAAATCATATTATCATATTATCAAGTCTTGTACCAACATTTATTTAATGTCCAGGAGTAATGAGGGAATATTTGTAAACACATCTGTCTGATGATTTGTAAGTAGTTTAAGTCTCAAAAGATGACTAACAGAAACCCATAAAAACTTCTGAGGTCAAAACAGCAAGGTCGTGAAAAGCAGTCGTGGGTAAGAAAGCTCATATTAAACTCTCGGCTTGACCAAGGACCGTCATATTTTAGAACAAGGGTTCTGCGTTTCAGGCACAGAAGAGAGAAGAAATGAATTGCAATTAAAAATTGCTTAGAAAATTAGGGGCCAAGCACTTAAAAAAAAAAAGACATTCTTGCTAGTGATGACCAGTAGATGGTGCTATGGCCACCATCACGAAATAGAGAAAGACAGTTATGACTGTTCCCCAAACCACGGCCATACATTTTAGAACATGTATATACTGTATTTTCCCAAAGACCATCATGGTTATGTGGAGACATTTGGGGAGCAATCTTTTTCAGTCATCTCTTATACCATGGACTCCTGTAGTTAACCTCCCAACTTTTTTTTTTAAGCACTTGGAAATTCCATCTTAGGAAAAAATTGCTCATTTTTCTGGAGGTCCTTATTAATTTTTCTCAAGGCAGAGTCTAGGGTGTATAAACCCAGAATTCTGCTATGAAAAAATTTCCCCAGTGTTTCCTATCAAAGACTTGATTTAGAATATACACAAGGAAATGGACTTGATTTATAATATATACAAGGAAACATTCTAAAAGCAAGGAATGCTCTTGTTCACGGCTAACAGAAAAATCTCCACCCTCTCTGAATGGTAGAGAAGGTTTTAATTTTGTCATTTACTTTTAAGAGATGCTTCCAGTCCAAGCCAGGACGAACAGCACACATGATAAAACCATATACGCAAAACACTAAGGGGAAAATGTGTAATAAAGAGATTTAAAATATATCCGGAGAAACTGGTTAAGAATACATATCCACGGGAATGACTTTCATCCCAAGGTACCTGTATAACACTCCCGCACAACTCATCCGCCCAGAGAGAGCACTAAAAAACATAAACGCTACCCCAGCACTTCCGATCCTACAGCATCTGTTAATTCACTCCATTTATAAAATACATATTGACAAAGACAACTGAACTGGGACCAGGGAGATTTGATTTGGTGTGAGAAAGTCAATTCAATGTGATTTTGTTAAAGGGCTCCTGCAGGCAAATAAAAGAGTTTAAGTAATAAAGTACATAAAGAGATGTTTTACGAGCCAGGCCGGCGGCGTGGCAGGCTCGCAATGCCAGGCGGTGAGAGAGACCGGGCTCTGGAACTGTGTTGTAAGATCCAAGCCTTGCCCGGTGGATATGGAGAGTGGCTAGGGTGCAGGGGAACAGATCTGTGAGTGGACATAATCGTCCGGGGAGACCAAAAGGAGAGACAGCAGAGGAGAGAGGGCTCAGAACACGGCTGTTTTCAGTGTGTCTGAAGGTCAAAGTAATAAAGAGGTTTTCTCCTTTGTTTTACAAGTCCTGAGCCTCCGCCTCCTCCACCGCGGCTACCAGAGTTAACACGGGTGCAGACGGCACTGCGGAACCATGCCAGTCTTGTGCCATGGGGCTTGAGGAACGTCACCGTTAAGAAAGGGTTCAGTGAGTGCCTGGCGAGGGGACTCAAGAGCACTGAGAAGTTAGGGTACTGCTCTAACAGAGAGGACTCAAGTTCAATCCTCAGCACCCGTGTCAGCTGGGTCACAACTCCCTGTGACTTCACTGATCTGATGCCCTGGCACCCTCTTATGGTCTCCATAGGCACTGGCAAGCGTGTGCATATACCCCTCACATACATATAATTAAAAACAAAGTAATTTCTTTTGAAAAAGAAACATTTGACGGGTTAGTTATCACCATCACACTCAAGTGAAAGGGGGTGATTCTGAAGCTTGGTCTATGCGTGGACTTGAAGGATGTAAAGATAGGCACTTTGCACGCTTGCCTGTGTGTGTGTGTGTGTGTTGCATGTGGATGCATATGTGTGTTTTCAGTGCTCTTTTACTGAAAATAAGAATCTATAACTTTGCAAGAATTCTCCAGGAAGGTTGAGAGCTCATCCTCGAGGGCAGTCACCTTTACCCGGCTTTCCCTCCCGGGAACAGTTTTTGGTCATCTCTTTCCTTCTCCGTGCTTTTCTGACACCCGCATTTAAGTAGTCTTTGTAAATCAGAGTTATGACAGTCACGTCCACTCTTCCTGGAGCACTAACCAAATCCTGGGCTGGCTCAAACCTGTCTCCCTCTGTTTCACGGCGTAGGTGATGCGCCGTCCATAACCAAGTTGGCATCATTGGTATCTCTTCCCCACTAGGTCAAGCTGCTTCTCTCAAGACCTTACTCAGTGTTTAGGGTTCTACCACAAAGGCACAACCCACACTTAGCTTTTCTTCATCTACTTAGTGTGGCCATCACTTGGCTTTAAAAGTATACCTGCAGCCGGGCGTTGGTGGCGCAGGCCTTTAATCCCAGCACTTGGGAGGCAGAGGCAGGCGGATCTCTGTGAGTTCGAGGCCAGGCTGGACCGACAGCCTCCAAAACAGAGAAACCCTATCTCGTAAAACCAAAAAAAATAAAAAAAGTATACCTGCGTTAGACTACTGGAGAGCAGAGAGTAGGTGGGGCTTGGAGAGGAGAAAGGCCAAGGTCTGTTGCACGCGCATGGATGGGACAGTCATAATGAAATTCACTAGCTTTCACAATTAAGACACAGTAGCAAAAACTGAAATGCCAAAGAGCAATAAGGAGAGTATTTCACAGCCTAGCATATATTTCTCTTGGATGAGCCAGAAACAATACAGATTTGGGGGAGAAAATGAAACCCTAACCAGTTTTTACACTCAAAGGATGATTTCTTGACTATAGACTCAATAATTCTTGTTCGTTGAATGAAAGGATGCGACAGTAGACTAATTAATAAGAAAAAAAAAACTACGTGCCTGATTAGTGACACACACTTGTAATCCCAGTGCTTAGACGGCTGAGGCGGAAGGATCAGGAGTTCAAGGTCATCCAAAGTTACAGGATGCGATACTGTGTTGAAGAAAACAAAACAAAAGCCCAAACGAAACAGCCTTTGCTTATGTGGGTTAAAGCAGTGCATGGGTTCTGACCTAGAATCAAATACATTTAAAACAATAAATTCATAATGTGTAAAGGTACATTTCTGAGGCATGTAGAAAATCTTTTCCAAAACCCAAAACCAAGTCAGTGCAAAGAATGACATCATCTCTCATGTCTGTAAGCCAGTGTAAGACCCAGTGCTATTGACAGGAACTGAATTATCCCACCAGATTCTCTGTGTCGCAATAGTGCGTGCCATATAGTGCCTGGGAAACGCCACTGGACACCTAGAAAGGACTGGGCCTCCTTAGATGACTCGGTGGCTCACAGTGCTTGCATATAAGTGTGACACCTGACCTTGATGCCTGGGACCTCCATTGTGTAGGAGGAGAACTGCCTCCCACAAGCTGACCTCTGACCTCCACAGTCAGCCAGGCAAGCATCCCCATGCTTCCCCCACACACAGAGGAGTAAACAAACAAACGTAATAAACTTCAATGCATAGGTGAATTTACTAGTATTACAAAAATAGTTTTGCTTTTACAGGGCTTCAGTCCCTCCCATAAAAAAGCTCCTAAGGCTGGAGTAGGCACAGATGCTAAAATTTAGGAAGATACAGAGGGTAAAAATTCAAAGACTATTAAAAGGTGTGGTGAAGGAAAGATTTAAAGGAAAAAATTATGAACTAAACATGGGGAAGATGACAAAAGTGTGGCAGAGGAGATGTCTCTGTTGGAAAGGTGTTTGCCTAAGCACAAGTCCTGAGTTCAATCCCCAGAAGCCGTGTGAAAAAGCCAAGCATTGTATTGTAATCCCAGCACGAAGAAGAAAGGACAGGCAGATCACCGGGCTCACTAGCCAGCAATCTAGCCTTTATAGAAAGTTCCAGACCAGTGAGACACTCTGTTTATAAAGGTGGACCACTTCTAAGAAATGACATCCACAATTGTCTTCTGGTTTCAACATACATGTATTTGTGCACAGCCATTCCTACGAGTGATCACACACACACACACACACACACACACACACACACACACACACACCATGAAAATATGTATTTAATTAAAATTATTCTGATATCAAATGGAGAACTGAAATGAATTTCACATCATTCCCCAAGCAGTAATACTAAAATGAAATTCTGTTTTGGGACTTGAATCGATGTGTCTACAGTATGATAACGCAAGGCTTGCTGATTTGCAGGTGGGCTAGTGACATCAAAGATAACTCTACTCAAGTGGAGAGGTTTAGTTTAGACCAGTGTTTCTCAATCTGTGGGGCGGGGATCACATATCAGACACCCTGAATATTAGATATTTACATTATGATTCATAACAGTAGCAGAATTACAGTTATGAAGTAGCAATGAGATAATTTTATGGTTGGGGTCGCCACGACATGAGGAACTGTGTTAGGAAGGGTGAGGACCACTGTTTTAGGTGGGTGCTACCCACTCAACAAAGTTAGTGCAGTCAGTCCAACAGACACGAAGGCGAGTCTCAGAAAAGCACTTCCAGAGTTAAGATCTGAAATACCTATCCTTTGATCCCAAGGAGATCCTTGGCACAGATTTTCCCAAATCTGATAACAACCCTATCTGTTTCTGTAGCATTATTATAATGAGCTGAAGTACTTAAAACCATGTTTCTAGACTTCAAGTGATTTTAAAAGGAAATTATGATCAACCATGTGAGAGGGAAAAACTGAACTGCAATAAAAGTAAGATAAAGTGCCAGGGTCAGCTGGGTGGGCCATCAAGGGGGCATACAAATCAAGGCAAAGCATGCCAGGAATTGCGGGATATACATATCTGCATAAATTACATTGGAGACTGGAGAGACAGCTGAGTGAGTAGGAGAGCTTGCCGCACATGAAGACCTGGGTTTGAATCCCTGGAACCCAGGTTAACGTTTGGGTGTGGCTCTACACACCTGCAACCTCAGCACTGTGGATTGTTTGGGTTGGCTGCCAGCCTAGTTCCAAGTTCAGTGACAGATCCTGCCTCAAGGCACAAGACAGAGAGTGACAGAGCAGGACAACATATGTCCTCATCAGGCCTCTGCATAAGTATGTATGTGTGTATACACCAGACACACACACACACACACACACACACACACACACCACATTAGATTATACAAGAGGGGTTTCCTGGACTTCTTTCAAAATTTATTTTATTATTCCAAATAAATATTCATTTTAAATATCCTTTTTGTTCCTTGCCCTCCCCTACCCCCCAAGTTCAGACCACCGAAACTCTATCCTGAATCAACTATATAATCTCCCAAGTTCAGACCACCCAAACTCTATCCCGAATCACCTATATAATCTCCCAAGTTCAGACCACCCAAACACTATCCTGATTCACCTATATAATCTCCCAAGTTCAGACCACCCAAACTCTATCCTGAATCACCTATATAATCTCCAGAAGGACTCTAATGCTCATGTTCCAATTTCCCCATTAATTTTATTACTGTCATCATTTTGTGGTACTGAGAATCAAACTCAGGGCCTCTCAGATACTAGTAAGTGCTTTTCCACTGAGTGATATAGCCTGACACCTTTCCTAGGCTATAAAATACAAATACAAAAGTACCATCTATTTGTAGGGTAGTTGTAGAGATTAATTTTGGAAGTAATGTACATAACAACAGACACTACCACTTGGCAGTAAGGTCTCATCCAATGGTGATGCTTGCTATTAATATTAGTCCTAGTTTCCTAGGAACTTGAGAATAAAAAGTAAGAGATTAACATCTCAAAGTCCCTGTGATTATTTTTCTACTATTAGTAATTAATAGGAAATATTCTTTCATCCATAAACAATACATTCATGTTGGAGTTTGTTTTGATTTTGTGTGTTTTTTTTGTAACATTCATAAAAAAGTCTTTTTTAAGATGTATTTTTCAAAGTGATTATGTGTAATTATGTGGCTATTTGCCTGTGACTGCATTACCCATGCAGGTCGGAAGAGGGCATCTGATCCCCTGTGGCTGTGATGCCCCCCACATGGGTGCTGGGAAGTAAACTAGCATCCAGTGCTGTTAACAACTTCTCCAGTCACCTCACCCCACCCCACCCCACCCCACCCCAAAAGGAATTAGATGTATCGTTACAAAGTGGACTAGATACACTTAAAAACAAAAGGGGATTTTAACTGTTGCATAGCATGTTCCTAATTGTTTCATTCACCCTAATGTGGGTTTTAGTTATTTGTTTTATTTCTAGGTCAGACTCCTCCTCCTCCCCGCACCTCGGCTCTCCACCTTCTATAAGACAGACGCGGGGCCTTACCTGGGGGGGTGACTGTACACCATGCCCTCTTCTCCTCCACCACAACACTTGAAATCCTGGCTCACCATCTCTCCTCCACATTACTGCTGTCCGTAGCCATCATGGAGCCTCCCAGAACAGCACCCCTGGCTCCCGGAGATGGCATTCTGCCACAGCATCACCAAGGCCGACGGTGTGTGCTGCTCATCTGGACAGCACCTCTCTCCTGGCAGAGTAGCACGGTAACCGTTACTGTGTGAGTTAAAATATGCTGTAACGTAGCTAAGTTTTAGTGCAAACACTTCTACATGGCAAGTGGCCAACAGAAAGCCTCGGGAGAACACTGCTCTACTGAGGTTGCAAAATTGCATCACATCCCCCAAACTTTTACATTAAAGATGGGGTAATGGGCGCATTTATTTACACCCATGTGTAACATGAACAAATGAAAGACCCAGAGAGATGATACTGGGGTTCGAGCTGGAGATCAGGGAAGCAAAGCAGCCCGCCACTAGCTCTCACCTCTAGCTCAGGCTGAAAGGGCTGATCCAGGGGCTTCTCACCAAGGCCCAAACTGTTGCCTCTCCAGTGTGGCTGGAGAATGGATGCCTCTCCTGAATACTCGCTCCTGACTTTCAATTCCCTCTAACGCTGGGGTTAAAAGTGTGAGCTATAATTCTCTTTTAGACTGATTCAATCTTTTGTAGATCTGGGTAGTCTTGGACTCACAGAGATCCCTCTACCTCTTAATCCTGAGTCCTAGGATTAAGGGTGTGTACCACCACCTCCTAGTTTCTGGCTGCTGGGATTAAAGGTGTGTATCATCTCTACCTGATCTCTACAGCTTGAAGCTGCTTTTCTGAGTCCTCAGGCAAGCTTCAATAAGTCATAAACAATATATTACTAATCCTTGTATGCTAGCTGTCCCCTTCCTGTTAGTCCTTTTCTTACCCTACCAAGCATGTCTGACCAACATGATTTTGTGCTGGGCCACGTTCATAGCCTTCTTTAGTGCTGTAGTCCATAAACCACAGGTTGCACATGCCTGCCAGGACAGACTGGCATCTATTTCCTGCCATATACATATACGTATGATGCTAAATATCTATATAAAATCCAAGAACCACAAAGGAGAAAATAAATACATGGTGTTATTTTCCTGAAATGAACGGACTTCATAAATCACCTTCAGTTTCACCCAGTTTCCTTCTAACACGACTTTGACAATTTTTTTTAATGAATAAAAGAAAGTTCCATCGTGTATGTGCCACATTTCCTGTTCTCACTCCTCTGCTGCTGACACTCAGGCTGGTTCTGTAACTCAGCTCCCGTGGTTAGCGCTGCAGTGAAGACTGCTGTGGCGTGCTTCTGTAAAGTCGTGAAGTCCTCTGGGTAAACACCGGAAGTGCTACGGCTAGGTCATGTGGAAGATCCAGCTCCGGTTTTCGGAAGACCCTCCAAGTAGACTTCCATCGAGATCTTTGTTTACATTCTCACCATCCGCACAGAATGCCTCCCCTCTGCCCATCCTCCTTGTCCATGTCATCGTCAGCAGTTGTTGCTGTTTGTTTTCCGGCAGAAATGAGAGGTTCTCAATGTCATTTTAATTTGCACTTCTCTGGTGGATAGTAAGGTTGAAATTTCCCTTTTTATATTTATCAAAAACCTGAGAGTTGTATTTCATTGCGAGTCATCAACTCATTCCATCAACACATTTATTATATTCTTTGGTTTCTTACTTTTTTGAGTTGCCTGTTCTAGATAGGTAGGTCTCAGCCTGCGGGTTGCAACCGCCACGGGGTCACAATCAGATACCCTGCATATCAGATATTTACATTGCAACTCATAACAGTAGCAACACTGCTCTTATGAAGTAGCAACGAAATATTTTTATGATGGGGGGAGTCATTACAACATGAGGAACTGTGTTAAAAAGGGTTGACGTGTTAGGAAGGTTGAGAACCACTCAGTGGAGCTAGATATCACTCCCTTGTCAAATCCATAGCTGGCGATGGACGAATTCTCCCAGTTTGCTGGATAATTTTACTCAACTATTTCCTTTGTTGTGTAGAAACTTGTTCAATTCTTGAAATCTCACCTGTCATTTGTTGTCACATATTCCTAAGTGAGGAGGTAGCTGTGGAGATGTCCTTGCCGACGCCAGTGTCTTAAAGTGTTTTCCCCACTGAGAAAATTATTCCTTCCTAAGGATATATTTACTTAACCAAACACAACTTTTAAAACGGGAAGATAATTAAGCGAGTGGAAGTAAAATATTATATTTAGCTAAGCACATTCATAATTTGCAGGGTTATGAGAGATAATAAATTTCCCTAGAGCTCATACATGCACAATGTCAGCATGCAAGATTCTGAGAATAAAGTTAGTATTTAATAAATTTAAATAAAAGAATATCTTAGTCCTTGGCTTGGTGTCTCAAGACCAAAAATTTTTTAAATTATAGATATCAAGTTTGTTGTTGCTGTTTTTATGTTGTTGTTTTGTTTTTGCTTTTGTTTTGTTAGCTTTATTTTCGTATGGAGGGGCCTTAAAGAGAGAACTTACAAAACTGCTTATTTTGGGGGTATCTCAGAAATGGCTGACAGTACTGGGGTATCAAAACCATGTATTTCTTTTTGTTTTGTTTTGTTTTTTAAATTTAAATTAGAAACAATCTTGTTTCACATGTTAATCCCAGCTCCCTTTCCCTTCCCTCCTCCCCCACCTTCCCCACCAGGTCCCTCAGTCCCCCACCCAATCTCCAGTCCGATCCCCAAGGAGGGTGAGGCACTCCATGGTGGATCTCCAGTAACTGTCATTTCATCCAGGGCAGGGCCTAGACCCTCCCCTAAGAGTTCCGGCTGAGAGAGCCTCCCATATTGTGGCATGGACACTCAACGTCTATTTGTACGCTAGGGATAAAAACTACCCAAGGCCCCATAGATTACCTAGGCCTCCTCACTGACACCCACATTCAGGGGGTCTGGGGTCAGTCCCATGCTTTCCACACAGCCATCAATCTGGAGTCCAAGAGCTCCCCCTTGTTCAGGTCAACTGTTTCTGTGGGTTAAACCAGCCCACTCTTAACTCCTTTGCCCATCTTTTCTCTCTTTCTGACACTGGATTCCAGGAGTTTAGTTCAGTATTTGTCTGTGGGTGTCTGCCTCTGCTTTCATCAGTCGCTGGATGAAGGTTCTGTTTCCTAGACTCTTTGGTAGTGGGGTTGTATGCTGGCACTCCCCTGATTCATGTCTAAAATCCATAAATGAATGAGTACATACCATGTTTCTCTTTTTGTAAATGGGTTACCTCATTCAGTATGGCTTCTACTAGTGCCATCCATTTGCCTGCAAATTTTAAGATTCCATTGTTTTTTTCTGCTGAATAGTACTCCATTGTGTAAATGTACCACATTTTCTCTATCCACTCTTCAGTTGAGGGACATCTAGGTTGCTTCCAGGTTCTAGCTATTACAAATAATGCTGCTATGAACGTAGTGGAACAGACATCCTTGTTGTATGAATGTGCATCTTTTGGGTATATGGCTAAGAGTGTAATTGCTGGGTCTTGTGGTAGACTGATTCCCATTTTCCTGAGGAATCTCCATACTGATTTCCAAAGTGGCTGTACAAGTCAGCACTCCCACCAGCAGTGAAGGAATGTTCCCCTTTCTCCACATCCTCTCCAGCATAAACTGTCGTTGGAGTTTTTGATTTTAGCCATTCTGACAGGAGTGAGATGGTATCTCAGACTTGTTTTGATTTGCATTTCCTGGATGGCTAGGGATGTTGAACACTTTCTCAAGTGTCTCTCAGCCATTTTAATCTCCTCTTTTGAGAATTTTCTATTTAGTTCTGTAACCCATTTTTTTTATTATATCTTTTGGTGTTTTGGAGACTTGCTTCTTGAGTTCTTTATTAAATTTTGGAAATCAGCCCTCTGTCAGATGTGGGGTTAGTGAATATCTTTTCCAAATCTGTGGGGTGCCTTTTTGTCTTGCCAACTGTGTCCTTTGCCTTACAGAAACTTATCAGTTTCAGGAGGTCCCATTTTCTATCTCAGTGTCTGTGCTATTGGATTTACGTTCAGGAAGCAGCCTCCTGTACCAATTTGTTCAAGGGTACCTCCCACTTTCTCTTCTAACAGGTTCAGTGTGGCTGGGTTTATGTTGAGGTCTTTGATCCATTTGGACTTAAGTTTTGTGTATGGTGATAGACATGGATCTATCCACATTCTTTTACATGCCAGCATCCAATTATACCAGCACCATTTGTTGAAGAAGCTTTTTTTTTCCATTGTATATTTTTAGCTCTTTGTCGAAAATCAGATGTTTATACATGTATGGGTTAATATCAGGGTGTTCAATTTGATTCCGTTGGTCTACCTGTCTATTTTTGTGCCAATACCAAGCTATTTTCAGGACTATAGCTCTATAATAGAGCATGACGTCAGGGACAGAGATGCCTCCAGATGTTGCTTTGTTGAATAAGTTTGTTTTGGCTATCCTGGGTCTTTTGCTTTTCCATAAAAAGTTTATTATTGTTCTTTCAAGGTCTGTGAAGAATTGTGCTGGGATTTTAATGGGGATTGCATTAAATCTGTATGTTGCTTCTGGTAAGATTGACATTTTTACTATGTTGATCCTACCTATCCAAGAGCATGGAAGATCTTTCCACCTTCTGGTGTCTTCTTTGATTTCCTTCTTTAAAGACTCAAAGTTCTTGCTATACAGGTCTTTCACTTGTTTTGTTAGTATTACCCCAAGGTATTTTATGTTGTTTGTGGTAATTGTAAAGGATGATGTTTCTCTGATTTCTTTCTCAGCCCTTTTATCGTCTGTATATTAGGGCTACTGATTTTCTTGAGTTGATCTTGTATCCTGCCACTTTGCTTAAAGTATTTACCAGCTGCAGGAGTTCCTTGGTGGAGTTTTTTGGATCACTTATGTAAACTATCATATTATCTGCAAATAGTGAAAGTTTGGCCTCTTCCTTTCCAATTTGTATTTCCTTGATCTCCTTTTGCTGTTGTATTGCTCTAGCTAGAACTTCAAGTACAGTATTGAAGAGGTATGGAGAAAGTGGACAACCTTGTCTTGTTCCTGATCTTAGAGGAATTGCATTGTATTTCTGTCCATTTAGTTTGATGTTGGCTGTTGGTTTGCTGTATATAGCTTTTATTATGTTGAGGTAAGTTCCTGTTTTCCCAGATCTCTCCAAGACCTTT